CGATAATGCTCAGGTTAGTTTTTAACATATTCTTCATACTCTTTTTCTATATGAAAAATGATTTTTCTTCTTTCATCTTCGTCTTTTCCTTCTTCATTTTACTTAAGCAAATCGTAAAAGATTTTCCTGGTTGTATAATCGATTTGGAATTGCCGGAATTGCCACCCGTAGAGGGCACAAATATGGCTCAACGGATATTCAAAGATTATTGCGATCATCCCAAAGAAAATAGAACCGATTGCGATGTAGTCGTTTGCATTCAACATCAAGTGTATAAAAATCGCGTACGTATTAGGGAATTTCTTGAGGGTTTCGATCTTTTGCACACCGGCACAGTGACAATAAATCAATTTGAACGTGCTCTACATAACATGGGTGTGGGTAAATACATTACTCAACGTGATTTTCAATTATTATGTTACCGCTACCGAGATCCCATTGATACAAATCGTATCATGTGGCGTATTTTCGAAGACGAAGTTGATCGCGGTAAGTTCAGTTTAAATTGTACCAAGAATCATTTCTACCTCTGTCTTTTTTTTTTTGGTTTTTTTATCTACAGTTTTCACAATCAAGAGACTGGAAAAGACTCCATTAAAGCAGGTTGAATCACCGCCAAAGAATATAAAAGAAATGCCTCGTAGAGGCTCATTGGATTGGCAAGAAGTTAGTGAAAAAACGCGCGATCTTTGCGAGGAAGCGATTAGGAAAATTCAAATACGTATACGCAACCGCAGACTTCACTTGCATCCGTTCTTCAAGAATTATGATAAGTAAAGGCTCGGCCCAAAACCATCAAAAATATCAAAGAAATATTGCTTTTTTTTTACTAATTTTTATTATTATAAATTTCTTTCTATTAGAATTAATTCCGGGCATATACACTGCCGACAAGCTAATCAAATTTTCACTACCAATGGTATTTTATTATCAAATGATGAGTTGAACGCTTTGATCGATCGGTATGGCAATGAGTTAGGTTTCAATTATACACGATTCCTGGAAGACGCCGATCCGGCCGAATATGCAATACCGAAATTGATGCCACCGGCCAGTTTGCAGGCAGCGTGTCTTTCATTTAAAAATAATGCCGCCGACACCGAAAACGAGGAGCACGTTATACAATTACTTACGAAGGCCAAACGACAGGCCACTGTCAAGAGTATACCGGTAATAGACTTTTTGCAAGACTTTGATCGTCATCGTGAAGGAGAAATTCTCGAAGTCGATTTCCGTCGTGGTATTGATAATGCCAACATTAAGATGACTCCTAAAGAAATGGACACTATATGCAAAATGTAAGTCGAGCAGTGTCCTTTAGCTTTGCACACATTATCTTATGTTATCGACTTGTTTTTTCAATTTTTTTTTTAGATTCCGTTCGCCAAAACGCGCCTGCTGTGTACTATATCGGGACTTTTGCAAAGCTCTTGATGAAATATTTGTACAAATCGAAACGGTTACCGGTGATAATGAGATTATCGCTGTACCTCTTGTACATTTAGCTAACTTGGATTGTGTGGAATGCTTTATGAACTTTGAGGAACGTACCATTTGCTCGCAAGCACTTATGAAGTTGGCACGTAAACCGGATGAGATCTCCAATTTAAGTTCGGTCTTTAAAGATTTCGATCGTGAAAATTGCGGTACCATACGTAAAAATCAATTAATACGCGGCCTAACGGTACGTGATATGCATTACATGATCAGTAGCCGTGAATTTGAAGCCGTTTTCAAATGCTTCGGTGTGCAACGTGGTCTTGATTTAGAATTCAATTATCGCGAATTCCTAAACATCTTAAGCATTATATACCGCAACGGTCAAACTAAACGAAATTATTAGTAAGTGTGTGTGTGTGTGTTCTTGTCTTTTTGCATTTGTAAAATAAAAATTATTATGAAAAATAAAAATGCTGATTAGGAATTTTTTTTCTAATTTGTATATCAAACAATTAAAGAGAAACTTGGTCAGTCAATATCTCATTTAATATCTGGTCTAAAAAATGTCTTCGAAGACGATCGCTTCTTTGGCTAGGAAAAGACGGATCGTAGATACGCATGCGCATTTAATTTGACCGAGAATTAGTCTGGTGAGGGAGATATATCAGGAAGCAGTACGAAGTTAAAGTGCGAACAGTATTTTTTGTATTTTCGAATTCAATAAAATTTTAGTTTTTTTCCAAACGTTACTTTTGCGTTACGGAAGTCACGATTAATCAACATAACTGCTCGAATCGGAAAATCATGTGGGAATATTAATAATTACCGCATGGTCTTCCACGTTCTCTTTTTTTTTTATCTTGGGTTAAGCTGATCTAGCGTTTCGTCTGCACAAACCACTACTTCACCGTTGACGTAAGTCGCTCAATGATGCAAAACGTTCTTTCCTTGGCATACTCATCAGCAAAGGATGAGAAGTATATTCATTTGTCAAAACGTTGCTTGATTAGCATCACATTTCGAGTCGATTTAAACAAGTCCGTCTGTCCATCTTTGCAATGTCTTTTGTGAACGTCCTCTTGAACGCAAAAATGAGGTAAAATTGGCAGCAACATCGAAAGTTGTTCGTATTGAAAATGGGCCAAATCGGTCGGAGGGCACGCCCACAGCTCCACTGAGTGAACTGAGAACATCTTGGCTTTTCGAAAAAAATAATAAATTTTTTCTTCGCCCATTACTCAAACTATGTACATAAATTTCAACGCGTATTCCATGAACGATGCTTCACAAAAATGGATAAAATTGATCACGCCTACGTAAAATTATACTATACTGTAACAAAATTTAATATTTCTCTCATCATTTTCGCTTGATGGAAAAACGAGCTTGCAAAACCACCTTTACGTATATAAACTCTTGACCAATCATAAATTTGGAGTTCTCACTTTCATCTGTCCATGTGTCTGCCAGCGCAACCGCATTGTGGTAAGTACCGTGTTTGTGGTAAATATTCTCTCGTCCACAAAACAGAGCGTGTCGCCTATAAATTTGCCAATTGACCCACATATGCTTATGCGACAAAAAACCTTGATTTTGAAAATAGTAAAAATCAGCTGCGCCCAGTCCATATTATAGAGTATGAAGGATTTGGTCTTTTATTGATTTTTTGTTTTCTTTAGGACAATGGTGCTGGGCGTAAAAGATTCGAGTGCGACCAGATATAATTTTTTTACCAGAATAGATCGGTTTACCAAATTTCACCAGTTGCGACCTATGGGTTGAACACAATGATACAACGCAAATAAATACACGGATGGAAAAGCTAAGAGTCACCTTCAGAATCGATCCTTCGGTTTAATATATTACCATATATTTTATATACGAAGCTTATACTGATCCTAAATGACATAAGACGCTGCAACTATAGATCGACGTGCCAAGCGGCGTATTCGAGATCTTATTTATAAAATAGCAGAGTTTTTTTCTTCTCAAATATAGACATATTTTTCTACACACCATTATCAAAGGTTTGTATTCTTCTGGAAGATAAGGCGAACGTATAACCCGAACTGAAAGCGTTTTCCAGTTTCCACTTCATTTTTTTCTGGCAAGATGCCTCGGTAAAACCTCAATAGATAAATCTTTCAAATAAAAAACACTTTTAGGTATATATTTTAACTTCAACTTTATTACGTAAAATTTAAAAAAAAAAAAAAAAAAAAAAGAGCGAAATAAATAAAAGTCAAAAATAATACGTAAAAATACCACATTCGTTTTTATGCCGAATGTTCGTATCCATCACTTTGCACACGAAAGCTTCCAACGCAATATTTAATGGGCACGATTTTTGCTCGCTTTCCAAACTGTGGGTGCGAAAATTTTACAAAAGTTTAATTGGAATTGACCAAAAATGAACTTGAATGTGATTTACAAAAACAGGAAGCTTTCCCATTATTATATTAAGCTTTGCTTAATCATTTCATATTATAAAGGTGGTGGCGGCAGTTGCATGGATTTTACATTTCATTTATTCATTTATTCACAATTAAGAAAAATCCAAGACAGTAAGCTAACGAACGATTTCTCGGCCGAGGTAGCTATCACTTTCGCGTCTTTCGTGTATATTTCGGCGCGCCACCTGTGCAGGTATCAACATGGATCCCAAACAATGTTGTATGTATGACTACATCGCATGGAATTGTGATAATAAAATTGAGCATGGCATTCAAATGCATTTTGGCGTGTACTGAAAACGGCGCACATGGTAAGAAAGGTCTTAAGCAATAATTCCACTGTTAAACCATATTAGTATATGTACAGATGAATCGGTAGTTTCCGATATGATATGAGCTTATCCCACTCACATAATTTTTTTACGAGTTGTTGATATTTTTGATATCGTTTCGGGAAAATGCACATATTTTCAAGTCAAGAAAGAGAAAAGACAGCATCACCTGGCATCTGATAAAATGATAGGCAAAGCAACAAATATCATGTGATGGTGACATCTACTATATCGCTTACAAAACCAAATCCAGAAAAGAACAATAATACTGTAAGATGTTTCCACCCACAGTTTGTCCATCTTTCGGAACTGAAATCGCAACTGATTTCATTAGTAAGTTCCTGTTACCCACATGGACATGGATTGATTTTATTAGTATTGATTCGGATTCACTTCGGATTTACCTACTTCACTTTTTGCCAGATATCTTTCGAACATTATCCAGGCGCTTGCAAACAAATAGAAGCAAAAATAAGCTCGCTTCTATTCTGCCGTATAATCAAGGCAAAAATTACAATTACGGTTATTAGTATGTAGCAGGCTGGATAGTACAAACTTATAAGTCTTATTATTGAAGTTGAAAAATTTCATTATATATACGAGTGAAAATTGGATTAATGAATAGTGTGTGAAGGTGTAAAAAAAATTGTCCACACCAACACACCTTACATGCTAATCTGGCTTTTTTTAAGGACTAAGCGAACATTTCATTTCACAAAAATACAGCTTTTCCTGTAGACGAAGTGATGGATGGATAAAACACCCTTAAAAAAAATTAATTTATTACGACGTTTTGAAAAATAACACCCACCTTATCGTTGAAACTGTTGAATCTGCAAAATATAAGCCTTGATGTTTTTTTGTTTTTACTCTTTTTGCCACTTACCTCCATTCGGTTGACGGGAGGGGGAGGGGAAGAGGGGGACACACCAGAGTCGCTCGCAAGGCGTCTCCTTCGCCCCTAAGATATATATGTATAAGATTACATATATATATCTATCCACAAGATGTCTTTTTTTTTTTTTTACATCTCAAGAACTGCTAACATACGGCAGTCGTGTGTGCCAAATTAGAAAAGTAGCGGCCAACCAACTTGTAACAAAAATTTTAAGGTCAATTATTTAAAAATAATAGACGAAAAACACAACAAAGTAGTAAAAATGTTAAGCAAAACAAGAAATTGTTTCGATATTGACGTAAAAAAATAAAAAACCAAACCAAATAAAAAGAAAAAAAAAAAAACAAACAAGACAAAAATAAAATAAGAAATTCATAA